GTTATCAGTCACCATCAATCAATCAATGATCCATATGTAAAACGTAAATTAGATTCAGATCACTTAATATTAATAGCATTCATTGTCATAGAATAGTTATTTTACAAATAATAACATGGCTAATAACATAGCTCACCAAACCGTCCAACCAATAGAGTCAATGATTTTAAAAAGTTTATTCTGATAGTGAATGGATATATCTTTTTCTTTTATTTTTAGTTCATGTTCTAATCCAAAAGAAAACGGATAGTATAGAGCATGTGAGTCTCTTTGCCATGGGAACTCAACCTGTTCCAGTGAGTCTGAAGCCACATGCTCTGTCACAAATCTAGTACACAATTACAACTTGCATTCTAGGTCTCCCTAGCTAGTGGCACTCCTCTAAAAGTCCAACTTCCCTTCTATTCACTGACATTCCATAGTTAAGATGTAATTGGTCCCCCAAATTGTTGGCAGTTCAGTGTAAATATTTCTTCAACTGACAACTTTTAGCTCTAACATTATGATTAATATGTAACAAAGTACTTTCTTTAAACAAGAGGTAAATAGCCAAGACATTAAACAAACCAGAATGGAGTGTGTTGCGAACTGATACTTTCTACAGATTTGCTTTTCCCTTTCAATGGTAGAATTGTGTATTTTATTGTGAACAATAGGATTGCCATTTCCTTTTCTAGCCTTAATTATTAAAGAAATAACCCCACGGTTCCATTTTAAGTTCCAGGAACAAGAAGTTCTCACAAATCCTTGTTACTATACCACACAGTGTGTTGGCCAGCATTGCCAGGTTCTCAAGTTGTTAAACTTGAAGAAGATATTAAAAGCATATTTAATCTATGAAGTAATCATGTTAGCAGGGCAAGCATCATTGAGTTAACTTTCCTTAAGATGACAGAAGGAAAAACAAGAGATAGAAAACTTGGGTCTGGGATCAAAAGGATCTTGGAATATTAGTGGTGTTGATTTGGGTTGTGTTAAGGTAGTGATTAAAAGTTACTAAAAGGAAAAAGTGCCCATTGGGCAAGTTTTTAATAAGCATTATCTCTTTTAACTCCTCTCATTGTTATTTTTTCCCCCACACTAGTGTGATGTTTCTGTCTTCCTGTCTTTTCTTTCACCTCTAAAATCTATGTCACAAAATTAGTATTTTGGCTACTCTCCATTTTTATGAGACCCTAAGTTCCTTATTAACATTTATGAAATATTGCAAATCAGTAAGAAAGGACCAAATTGAGTAAGATTTAAAAATCTTCTTGGGCTGGGAAGGTGGCTCAGTGGTAGAGCGCTTGGCTTGTAATGCATGAGGCCCTGGGTTCGATTCCTCAGCACCACATAAGAAAAAAGCCGGAAGTGGCACTGTGGCTCAAGTGGTAGAGCGCTAGCCTTGAGCTGAAGAGCTGAGGGACAGCGCCCAGGCCCAGAGTTCAGGCCCCACGACCGGACCCAAAAAAATAATAATAATAAAAAAATAAAAATCTTCTGAAATATGGGACTATTTGCATATAGATGCAAACAAAACAGTTTAGAGTTTTTATTCTGTTAGCATCTATATGTCATGTTCTATGTTAAGATTCCTAAAATATTTTATCAAACTTTTAATATAAGAGTTTGGCTTTTTTATTTGTAAATATCTTTAGAATAAAAGAGCCAGGGTTTCTTAAAAGATTAAGCTTCAAATTATTTCTCATCATTTTTCCATTTTTCTTTTCTTTTTTTGGTGGGAGGAGGTCGGGTCGTGGGGCCTGAACTCTGGGCCTGGGCGCTGTCCCTCAGCTATTCAGCTCAAGGCTAGCGCTCTACCACTTGAGCCACAGCGCCACTTCCAGCTTTTTTCTTTTTGCTTATGTGGTGCTGAGGAATCGAACCCAGGGCCTCAGGCATGCAAGGCAAGCGCTCTACCACGGAGCCACCTTCCCAGCCCCCATTTTTATTTTCTAATTGCAAAAGTCATATAAAGTTTTTTTCAAGAGTAAACTCTGCAAAATTCAGAGCTTGAGCAGAAAGGAAAAAGTTCCTATCTCCATCCATCCATGCACATGCACTTGCTCTCATTCTGCTCTCCTTTCCCTCCTTGAAGACACAGAGGAGTCAATTCCCAACAGTATGAATATAAAGAACAAACCACTTTATTAGGTAAGCTACATGGATAATGGGTGAGCAGGAAATACTAGTGGTCTGATAAGAAACCTTTGCTGGTCTGGCCAGGCTGCTTCAGATCATATTATCTAGCAAGTTATTGGAAAATGCATTTAGCTGTAGAGAGTGAAGGTAATAAAAACATTTGAAAGGAGACACAACAAATTCAAATCAAGATAGCTTAGGTTTTAGAGGTGGGGGGGGTGGGAAGGAGATTGCTGTGGAGTTATGGAGCACCTTTCAGTGTTTGAAGAATATAGGAAGGCAGCAGACCTTCCCTTTCCTGGCTGCAGGAAAGCATTCCAACAGTCCCCAGACAAAGCCTGCTGGAAGGTACTAGGAGGGAGATAAGCCTTCCCACCCAAAAGGTGAAAATAACTGCTGAGAACCAAAAGCCAGCAGCAGCCAAGCTCAGCACTGAGCCCATTGGATGGCTTGCAGAGATAAAGTTCTTACTTATCAAAATACAACCCACAACTGGACAATTGTTTCAGCCCTACACTCTATGTTCTAAACTCTCTCTAGATTAATTACCGGGGAGTCTAGCCAAGCTCATTAAAAGGGAAACTGGCCTCCTACTATATAGTTTATTGTTCTTCCAAACTAAAGGGGACAAAGAGGACTTGGAGAAGATACTAACTTCTGGGCTTTCATTAGTGATGCTTAAGAAAAGATTTATCTGTGCATTTCAGAAATGTAGACTTCAGGGATCGTGTCATATCTGTCTCCTTTTAAGTGAAAAATTGCCTCTTATCTATTTTGCTGTGTATCTCAGATCACCAATTACATTCTATAACTACTGAACAACATAGTACAGGCCTTTGGAATCTGAGATCTCTCAGATGAGTTAGTTAAGCCTGTCAAACCCTCCAGAGCAAGCAACCATTTCAACTCTGTGTGTTAAGCTGCAAGGGAGTGAAAAGGCAAACTTTTTTCCCCAAAAACCAGGCTTCCTCCACCCACCCAGTCCCTTAAATCTCTTGGATCTGCCAAGGGCCTGACCTTCCAGTCTCTGCAGCAGAGGGTGGCATTTTGCGGGAGAAAAGCCCAACAGATAGACTAAAGGCCTCTGTTCAACAAATATTTGCCCACTCCAGATGGAGTGAAAGTTTGCTACATGTTGCTGGTGCAGAGTAATCAAGAGAGACCTTCAGGAAACTTGTTCAGATGCTGACAAAGAATTAGACTTAATAACAAGGTAAATAATTAAGTTTCATCCCACAGAACATTATGGATAAACCAAAGGGACTTAGTAAACTCTTAATTTCAAATTAAAACCAACACAACTCCCACGAAACAGAAATCTCTGTAATTTCCAAAGATCTCTAAGTATTCCTGCTTGGCTAGCAGACCTCAATCTACTCATTGTAAATCCCGAGGTTTTATTTACCCAGCCAGTGATCACTCCGTTTATGACATTGAGTTGTTGTTGTTGTTGTTGTTTTTCCTGGTTAGAGAATTTATCATTCTGGTTGCCAGCATCTCCTCTTGGCCCTTCCCAAGGAGCCTAACCCTCTCCTAACCTTCATCCCTAGTCCCTGGGATGCCTAGGATGCCTATTCTAAGTCTGAAAAGACAAAATGCCAAGCAACGAAAACACAAAACCGTGGGACAAACATCCTTTAAACTGTCATCACCAAAAAGAAAAAAAAACCTGGGAGTGGTGAGATCCAGGCCAGACACGCAGGCTCCCAGCCTGGGGAGAGCTTGCGTGCGTTTGGGAGGTGAAGCAGCAGGCAGCAGAGGAGCACTCCCCCAAATCCTCAGCTCTCACGGGTGAGTGAGGACCGGGGCACCAGCCAGGTTGTGCTGGAGTAAAGTTCCATTTTGTTTTTTTTAATTTTTTTTAAACTAGTGAGATCCCAGCTTCCTTTTCAAATCTGCACACAAACAGGACTCGGCTGCTCCGGCCAGTGACCAGGAGTGGAATGTGGTTATGGGCATCTAGGAAGACGCTGGCATCTGGGGGCGAACCGTTGGCGAGTGGGGGGGGGGGGGTGGAGACCTCGCTGGTGGAGAGGTGGGGGGGGGAGACTCCATCCAAAGGATCCCCCCCTCCCCAAAGGAGCTGAAGAACGGAATTTGCAGACATCCCTCCCAGAGGCGGGGCCCTTTCCTTTTTCTCTCTCGCGCGCGCCTCCCCGAGCAGCCTGGGGCAGGGCTGCCCCGGGCACGGGCGGTGAGGCTGCCGCGATTAGCGCCCTCCCTAATCCCCCGTCCCGAACCGCCCGCGCCTGGGTGGCAGCGATCAGTCCCCCGCGGAGACCGAGCGGAGGAGCCGCCAGCCAACTCCCACCGTCCCGCCCCGCAGGGTCCCCCGGCGAGGACCCGCACGGAGGCTGTCAACCCCAGCGGGGCAGGGGTGTGCGAAGCTGGGAGGCGGGGGAGGCCAGGGAGGGGGACCGGCCCGACCCGCGCAGCGGCGATCAACCCGGGCGGGGCGGCGGGAGACCCCCCTCCCTCCCGGCCCGAGCCTCCCCGCGCCCCGGGGCGCCGCGAGCCCCAACGCCAGCCCGGCCTCCGACCCGCCCGAGGCAGCCCCGCGCCGGGGTCGGCACCTGCGGGCCGGGGAGACCCTCCCGTCCCGGGGGAAGGGGGGCGCCCCCAACCCCGAGGTTGCGGGCTTGGGGCCCCGCCGCGCGGCCCGGCTCCGGGACTCGGGCGCACCTCGGCGGGGATCCCGGCGGGGCTGAGACCCCCACACACACACACCGAGCGCGGGGGGAAAGGCACCTCGTCCCGACCGGAGAAGTTGGGGGGCAAGCGCCGCCGGAGGCTGCGGGCCAGGCCCGTGAGGCGCTGGGGAGGGGGGACGAGCCAGATGGACAGTGGGGGTCAGGAGCGCGAGAGACGTTAGGACTTACCGAGTGCTCCCCCCATACTATCCCGCGCCGCCGCCGCCGCCGCCGCCGCCGCCGCCGCTCCGGCCGGCCGGGGACCAGCGCCACCAGCCCCGCCAGCAGCCGCCCTGGCCGAGCATGCCCGGAGAGCCGCGGATCGCCCCGCCCACTGCCCACGCTCGCCCCTCCCACGCCCGGACTATCCCCGCCCACCGCCTGCTCTTGCCACGCCCCCGCCCGGCCTCGCCCCCGCCCATTGCATGAGCCTCGCTCCGCCCACTCCCGGGATCTCCCCGCCCACTTCCCCATACTCTGGCACCTGGCAAACAGGGCAGCATCAGGGCAGAGCCTGGTCCACAATCCTGAAGCCTGACTGAGAATCTACAAGAATCCAGGTGAGCTGACCACTCTTTCTCTCTTCTCGTGGCTTGTATTTGGGCTATGTCAACCAGGAAAAGCCCATCTATAGAGAGATACTTAGGAACACCCACATACACACAAGCACTCGTATACAAGTCACACAATGATGCACATAAGCAGATTCATATTCAGCCACACATAGGCTCACATAAACATATCCATAAAGCACACTGACATAGAGCACAGACAATAGCAAACAGGGCACCTACACATAAAAGCACCAGTGATGGCATGAAAAGCAGGTAAGAGTGACCCCAACCCTCCCCCATGCTTCTCTTAGAGCTGCAAAAAGACTGATCTACTGCCCAGATCTGCACTGGTGCAACATTCTCAGACCATGGAGGGCAGAGAGAAGGCATAACACGATAAACTTTTCTTACAAGCTGGAGAAAGGCAGGAAGTGGTGTATAACTCTACCTAGTCAACAGTGAAAAGCACAGCCAATCAGTGTCATTGAAAAATCAAGTTTTCAGAAAGCCATTTAGCTACTCACTACTTAAAAAAGTCATTCTTGCTAATAACTAAAAACTTCCACTATGTCCTCATGTCTGAGCCTGATATGCTCCTCACAGGGATCATATAACTAATTAAGCCCCAAAAGAAAAAGGTCCTTTATAATCTAATAGAAAGTGGGGTAGGGAAACTCCAAACCACTAATGCTGGAAAAGAAATAACAATATAATTAAGTGCTGTATTCCATTATCTACAGGACAACTAAGGAAGCAAATAAGGGGACATGGGAGGGTCAGCTCATGGGAAGGTCCTGGGAATCTACTGATGATTCCTGCTTTTAGCGCTTGGCATACATGATTCAGGCCCAGGACAGGCATGAAGAAAATGCTAGCTACCATCACTAATACTGCTACCAAAGGTGTAGTTTGTGCTGAAACCATTAGGAAGACTGTGGGGAACACCTTGAAAACAGGTGGGTTGAGACAAGGCAGAGACACAAACAGCGTGTTGTGACTAGGAAACTAAGATGGGATTTTTTTCATTATTTTCCTAGAGGAAAATGAAACACATTTGGAGGAGGCAGTTATTAATAGTTGTGTTATTAATTCTTATCAAAAAGGCATTTTCCAGGTATGGATTGTTTCAATGACATACACACTCTATTTCTCCTCAATTCACCAACTAAAAAGTAACCTTGTGTTGTCTTAGGGTACCTATATATGTGTCTTTTCTAAAAACAAAATCACTTATCTCTATACGTATCACAAATGTATATGCATAATTACATACATGGGTATGTATATCTATAAAATGCATAGGCTGTGTGTGTGTATATATATATATATATATATATATATATATACATATATATATATATAATTACATGTCAGACATACACAGAGCCAAATGTTACTAAGAGGAGATGATTACAGGTACTGGATTGAGGTTAGGATTTTCCTTCCTTATGCAGGGCGGGGGGGGGGGGGGGGGGGGGGGAGGGGGGGGGGGAACCGTCCAGCCCTTAGGCTGTAGAAGGCTTAAGAAACCTTTTGGTATATGTTGGGACAGGCACGTATACTTCTCTTGGTTGCCTGCAGCCATCTGCCTATATTGATCATTTTGTTTGGGCCCAGAAGGATGTTATAAATATCCAAATCGCCCTTGGAAGAAAAAAGTTCCCACCTCTCCTAAGACAATGTCATGTTGTTGAGTTTCTGGGTCACTTCCACAAAAGTTTTATAATGTAGCTGAAATGCTCTGATATTGCAGTAGAAAATGACCTTGATACAATGCTAGGAAAGAAGATAAAGCTAAATAAGAAATGGTGAAAGCCGGATGCTGGTGGCTCAGGCCTGTAATCCTAGCTACTTAGAAGGCTGAGATCTGAGGATCGCTGTTCAAAGCCAGACAGAGCAAGAAAGTCCATGAAACTCTTATCTCCAATTAACCACCAGAAAACAGGAAGTGGCACGGTGGTAGAGCACTCCCCTTGAGCTGAAGAGCTGAGGGACAGCGCCCAGGCCCAGAGTTCAAGCCCCATGGCGTACGAAAGAAAAAGAAAAAAAGAAAAAGAAATGGTGAGCTGGATGCTGGTGGCTCACAGCTGTAATCCTAGCTCACTCAGTTGAGTTAGATGCAGGGATTACAGTTCGAAGCCAGCTCTGGCTGGCATGGTTTAGCACTAGTTTTGAGGGGGAAAAAAAAAAGCTCAGGGACAGTACCCAAGCCCTGAGTTCAAGCCCCAGGACTGGCGCACGTGCGTGCATGCACAAACACACACACACACACACACATACACACACACACACACACACACACACACACACCCCTGAAGTAGAGTTGTGGCCCAACTGGTAGAATGCCAGCCTTAAGCAAAAAAACCAAGCAGGAGGGCAAGTCCTTAAACTCAAGCTCTAATAGTGGCACATAAAGAAAAAAAAAAGAATAATGAAAAAAAATTACCAGAAAGATTTTTGGAGGGAAGGTAATGAAATTGCAATGCTAGAGATTCAAGAGAAGATGGCAGGATTTCAAGCATGGCTCAAAAGGTAGAGCAAGGGTAAGGCTCTGAGTTCAAACCCAAGTACCACACACAGGACAATGAATTTACAATTTCAAAGATTTCAAAAATGTTTGTGCTCTCTTGACCCTGGCTCTTTATCAGGATGACCTGGTTTCAAAATGCTTGGCTTCCTCTTTATTTAGTACTGAGCCATCACTAGCTTGTATGAATGCTTTCCAGCCCTGACCAAGGCCATTTTAGATGAAGAAACAACAATGAAAAAGAAAATTAGCAGAGACAATGGTAGTAGTACTGAAAGTCAAAGACAGAGGTAGAAGATTTTTCTGAAGATCTAGAAATAGAATTAGGAGACAAAGGAGGGTTAGGCTAGAAAGAAGCACACCTCTGATTTAAATGTGAGAAAAAAAAAACCCATGAGAAAATAAAACCATTTGGCTAATTTCCATACTGATTATAAATGTCTGGCATGAAATGACAAACAGGAGATGGGGGGAAAACAGAGATATAAATAAGTATCTATAGGTAAAGACAGATCCGTATTTGTATTTTATTCCTGCCCATGTACACATAACACATATGTTTATCATTACAGTTTTATAGAAGAGGACATTTCTTCCTAAGTCGGGCTTTAGTAATTCAGAAAACACCTGTGTACATTTTCTTTTGACCTCAACAGGAATGGCATTCTTTCCCCTAACCTAATCTGGCAATCACCACCCACTTTCCTGACTCTTTGGTCCCTTTCTGTCACTTATTTGATGTGAGGAGATTAGAGCACAGGAAAAAATATCTCTATCATTTACATGATGGAAAATATAAAATATAATGGAAAACAATGTCAGCGTGATGGTTTAGAGATCTAGTACAGCCTGTGAGCATGTGCTAGGAGCCAGCCCGGATGCTCAATGTCCCCGCCTTCCTCTGTGTCCTGGACAAGGGATTTCACAAACTCAGGAAGGAACTTGGATTACTGAGTCATGGGGCAGATGTGCAACGACCAAAGAAAGAATGCGTAAGGGTCTACTTAAAGGGGGAGGGGAGAGGCAAAACCCTTGTTTCTTTACTTATGGCTTTTTTTCAAAGACCTAAAATAACCCTCTTCTCTACTTCCTTTCGGACTCTGTTCTGACCACTATAAAGTTTCCTTTAGTTGATTTAGACATTCTTTGATTTTTTTTCCGCCTTTCGTCTGATTCTAGTTCTCTTATTTACTAAAGAAGATGAATGTTCTTGATAAAACTTGGATGCTCTCTTGTGGACTTGTTCTGGAAAGTTGAACAATGATGCCTATACAAAAACTAGATGAGGTTTTATGGAATGAAGACAGACATTATATTATAATAAGCATTATATTAATTATGTTATTATATTAATGGGCATTATATATTAATTCAAAGCTATACTGGCTAGTTATTTTAAACCATGAACTAGACATTGCTTTCCCAAGGTGAACTATGTAGACCTATTTCAGGATCAACTGAGAGGAGGATTTGACCAATAGATTCCTGGTCTTTATTAACCAATGGCACAATCAGAACTTCTAATTTGTACAGATGAGACTCTGGGAGCTCATCAAGCAAACTCCCCAGATGATTCTAGTATACAGTAAAGGAGCAAGGACGCAGTGCAAGAAAGGGAAACACTACATTCTGAGAGAATATAACAGAATGACTGACACTCAATTTACACTCAGAAAGCAATATTGCCAGTGCTAGTGGCTTATATCTATAATCCTAGCTACTCAGGAGGCTAAGCGGAGGATTGAGGTTCAGAGCCTGTCCTGACAGAAAAGTTGCTGAGGTTCTAATCTCTAATTAACCAGCAAAAAGACAGAAATAGGGGTGTGGCTCAAGTGGTAGAGCCACTGAGAAAAAAGCCAAGTGAGTGTAGAGGCTCTGTGTTCAAATCCCAGTCATAGTCTTAGCAATCAGCATGTGTCATGCTGGGCCATCAAGCTGAATCACAGCAGTGTCTTCATTCATCAAGTTCATTCACTGTTTGGTGCTGATAACTTAGAAGGTTTAATAGCGAAACAAAGTATATAACTTTAGGGACCAGGAAAGAAAGCAAACACTTTTCAATCACATACTTTCAGTCTAAGGACAATGAATCTCTGTGGTGTTACTTTGTTTTTAAATTACTGGCTATCTTTGAGTCAGCTTTTTCCCACATAAGACT